AGAGATGTTCAACTAACCACGCAAACCATGGAAATTTTTCAAACTGTGATAGATAAGAGTTGATGAAATGAGGGTCCCGGAATGTTTTTCGAAAACAAAGTTTTCGCAAACTATTTTTTCGAAAACAATTTTTCGAAGGTCACTTTTTCTAGAAACAACTTTTCGAAAGGTTGTATTTTCGAAATCATTCATTTCGAAGGGCCGTTTTCTCGAAAAGGTTTATTTCTTTATCACGAAAAACTGTTTTTTTCTCAACAATCTACATACCTAGCTAACTTATCTAAACAAATACCGACATTATTCACGTCCGTCAATAGCGACGCGTCAAAAAGTGTGCAAAAAACTTTATACTTATGGAAGAGCATTATTCTATTATTCAAATTCGAAAATCAAGATGCTGGATGCGTTAGCTTTCGTACCAGTTGCTTTAATCTTCAGAGGCTTCGACTTGATAGTGAGAGAACATCTGTCCACGGAAGTAAATGAAGAATTTATTGATTATCTCGAATACACATGGGTGGAAAAGGTGAACAGAAGAACTAGAGCTGGACACATGTTTGATTATTCTCTTTGGAGCTGCTTTGAAAGTGTTCTTCGGCAATCACAATTGACCAACAACGCCGCTGAATCGTAGCATAGGGGATCTTTATTCCTTATTGGCGCACAAAAATCATCTCTGTGGAATTTCCTGGACAAAATCGAGAAGGAATAATGTTTGACGAAACTGATTGATTGATTGATTGATTGATTAATAGCAGAATGATCAGTCAGGGTTTGAAGCCCAAAACACTGCAGCCTTTGGGCCTATTGTATTCCTGATCATGCTGTTGACTTAGGTGAACAGGTTCGCTACCTTGATGAGGTTTAGAAGCCTCTTCACCAGATCATTCTTTGAAAATGCCTCTTGAGAGTTTACTGCTCCCAGAAGGTTGTATCTCCAACGCGCTAGTGCTTCGCACTCCAGTATTACATGGGTGGCAGTTTCCTCCTCCTCATTGCATAGTCTGCATATGGGTTCGTCTGTATAGATGCCCATTTGATGCATATGTTTCCTCAAGGGGCAGTGACCGGTTATTAGTCCTGTCACTTGTTTGATCTGACTTCTGTTTAGGCTCAGAATGTCGTTAGTCACTGTTTTGGACAGTGTTCCAACCATCAGTTTACTGTGTCTTTGTCCTGGGACATTGTTCTAGTATGCCTGATGTCTTTCTTGCATCCACCTTGCCAGCCAGCCGCGTATTGAGGTTTTGGGGATACCGAACACAGGTTCCGGCCCCATAAACAACGTCGCAGACCCTTGCCTGGCAAGAGCGTCAGCTGCTTCATTGCCTTCAATTCCCTTATGCCCTGGCACCCATTGCAGAGTTACCTTGTTGTGGTTAGCCAGGGTTAGCAGGCTTTGAAGGCAATCCCAGACCAATTTTGATCTGATTTTATTGCATGTTAGAGATTGAATGGCCGCCTGACTATCTGAGCATATGAGGATTTGTTTACCTCTGTATCCTCTTACGATATTCTCTCTCAGGCATGCCTCAATAGCATGCACCTCTGCCTGGAATACTGAAGCATACCTTCCCAAGGAAGCAGACATCCTGGTTCTGGGTCTATCTCCATATATTCCGGCTCCCGTGCCCTCATCAGTCTTAGAACCGTCAGTGTACCATACTAACGTGCCTTCCTGACAGTTAGTCAAGATCCTTTCATCCCAGTAGAGCTGAGTGTTGAAGGGGCTGTAATAGTTATTTCTAGGCAGCATTTTGTCCCTTCCCATTTCCATTAGTGGGCTTGAAACTTGGCTGATTATTTTTGTATGTCCCAGGGAGTCACCCCGAGCATACCAGTTGCCGGTACACTCCAGTCTGTATGCCCCCATCCTCGCTTCCGCCTTGATGAAGATTTCAAGAGGTGGAATATTGAGTATGGTTTCCATAGCAGCGGTAGGCGTGCTGCGCATAGCACCTGTGATGCAGAGACAAGCTAATCTCTGGAGTTTTGAAAGCTCTATTATAGCTGATCTCTGTTCAGTCTTAGGCCACCAGACAAGCGATCCATATACAAACATTGGTCTCACCACAGCAGTATATAGCCAATGTACCATGCGTGGTTTCAGTCCCCATGTGTTACCAATCGCTCTCCGAGAAGCCATTAGTGCCATTTCGCCTTTGCTGACAGTCTTTCGCAGTTGAGTATTCCAGGTTAGCCTAGCATCTAGGGTTACTCCCAGATATTCAATCTCCTGTGTCATACTTAGCTGTGTGTCAAAAAGTCTGGGAACTTTTAGTTTGTCCAGTTTCTTCTTTTTCGTGAAGGCCACAAGTGCAGTTTTACTAGGATTGACCCTGAGGTCTGCCTTTCTGACGAAACTTAAAATTGCGAAAGTCATTCCTGGAGAGGAGCCCCCACGAAAAAAGTATAAATTCTTGGACCAGAGACTACGCAATATATGTTCATCACTTGACGAAACATGTGATGATGATGAATTAATTAGTTATTTGCAGAATATTGCACATGTTTTGTAATGTTCCCTATTATGTTGATGTATTATTGTGATAATTAAACGTGTTTTCGAAAAATTGTTGTTCAGAAATAATGTGTTTCGAAGAGTTGTTTTTCGAAAATCAGTTTTCGAAAATATATAACTTTGTTCTTTCGAAGATAATTGTTTCGGAGAAATTTCCGTTCGAAATTTTTTTTGTCGAAAAGATGTTTTCGAAAAAAATTCCCGACCCATGAAATGATACTGAATGTGAAAGAATATTCGAGTATAGTCGATTTGTTCTTATTTTGCACATAAATAAAAAAAGTTTTTCCTTATAAATGATTTTTTCATGAAACTAACAAGGTCTCACAACAGATTTTGGCTTCTAATGAGTCATACTTTTTTGATTATTTTAGAATAATTGGCGCCAATTCCAGTTTTCTATAGTATACATGAAGTGCGACTCAGCAACGGATGATTACCTCGATAGTTTTAGGTAAACGTTTTAACTCATGAGAAGTTACATTTAACTTCATTCAAGGAGTCTTGAGTTATTCTGATGGTGGAGGTGTGGATTGCGGGTGTTGAACTTAGGATAATATTATGGTGATGCCGTTTTCACCAAAGCCAGAGTGAAGGGTTTCATTTTGTTATACTTACAATAGAAAGCTGCAAGCATGTCATACATATAACAATGATACTGACAATAAACTGAGTAAGAATGATGAATCCATATGTATTCTGGAGATCCATGACGAATCTGAAAATAACAGTTTTATGAAGGGTGTTTGAAAAAAAAAGGTGACCCTCCTCGCTAGGGTAGGTAGAACACTGCAAAATCAGTTGGTTTTTCTTAGTAAAAAAAAAATTACTTTTCCCCACTAAGTACTCTTTTCCCGGATATTATACTGACAGATATTTGATTACTTCAAAAAAATGATAAAGCTGCCTGTAAAACGATAGCTGCAACGCAGGTGTAATTCCTTTTAAAAACATCAAATTTCACGTCGATATAATTTTCTGATCTTAATATAATGTAAGATCTTCTCAATTTCGATTCGTCCTCCTTGTATCCTGAAAACGGATACCTTCACGATATTTTTTTTACTGAGCAAACCCAACTTATTTTGCAGTGTTCTACCTACATTAGCTAGAAGTTCACCTCTTTTTGAAACATGGTCCCTGTATATTAATGTTTTTCGAATATAGGTAACTTTGTCTGTGAACGTCCAAGATCCGAATAATTTTCCAATGTTCTGGATGATTATGAATACTGAAGATATTCCGCATCGGCGCTGCCTAGATTTTCCTCAGAGGGGGTGCATCTGCATTCACCCAGCACAGTACTATATTAACTGATAAATTATCAATTATAAACTACAGATCAATAACTGAACTGCAACAAGCACGTTTTTGCACTAAATTCAATATAGAATATTCAAGCAAATATTCTACTTATTTCAAAATACACGTTTTTGATTAGTTGAAATATCTGTATTGATAATCAAGAACATGATGTTTTCGTTTTTGTATTCCGGCTGTTGATTGGCTACTGGATACCCAAATGGCTGTGTTTTCGATTTTGTATTTCGCTTTCTCATTGGTAGTTTCATCAAATACAAAAAAAAATTGGTCATGGACATATATAGATGTCATAATATCTTCATATTGAGAGATAAATAGCACTCAACACCAAACTTCAGATAAAATGGTGATAGGCACTGAATTTCAATTTGTATCGAAGAATTTCAGTATTTTCGGCGTTTTAAACAAACATTGTCTATATAAACCTAACCTCTCACAACTTGACAATCGGGTCGATTCTGATCGGATCTTGTTATAACATTGCTAAAACATTATGCAATATATGTATTCATTATTGTTGTTTGTTTACCACATTGTCCATATAAAGTTCGTTTTTAGATTGGTTCCACATACCAATATGGTTTGACAGAAATGATTGGTTGTACAATGTAATAGATATACAATTTGAGATATTAATTTCGCAAATAAGAATGAAAATTGGTGAATTATTATTTTTCATTATTTTTTTCCATTAATGATCCCCTCTAGAGAAACATATATTTTTTTACGCGAAAATAAAAAATTATGCAGTGAAGGAAAGTTTTCTATGAAAAAGTATATCTCAATTGAACAAATTCTCAAGTTATTCTTTATATTTTCACCGAAGGGGTGCAAGTGCATCCCCTTGCACCCTGCTGCTGGCGTCCATGGTATTCCGGGTTTTCGTATTTCGTTCAAAATAAAAAAATACTGACCTTTTTCTGACAAAGTTTTAATCATGATCGGAATATTTCACTTCATAACAATTAATAGAACATTCGAAGGCGAATATAAATGATACTTTCCCTTACTCGTTTGTAATCAGCGAACGAGTATAATCGAGTGTGCCAAAACATATACAAACACGCCACGAAAAGATGACTTTCATCACCATATGAAACAATGTCAAAGCTAATGAGCTCAATTATTATTCGTGTATATTCAAATGGGTTATTACTTACTGATATATGGTTTCGTAGTGTTCAATATTATCACATATATTCCTATATATCATAGCATTTTTGAGATCATCCTTTTCTCTCAGAGAAATATCCTTGCACTCTTCAGGAATATCTTTTTCCACCATCCTTCCTAGTTTTTCCAGTTTGTCTTTGATTATTCTGATTTGAGTGGCAGCGTGAAGAATTAGGCCAGGTATCAGAGTATCAACTGCTGCGTTGCCGATTGGTGCATTACCAGTAGCTGAAAATTCAAACCGTATCGTCTTCATGTACTATAATCATCAGGAAACATAATAATGAATTGATGTCACACTGCGTTATTTTTGAAATTCTGAAAGAATCTAGAGAACTGTATATTGATGAGGTCTTATTATCACGAAACTTTGATTTGATCGAATTATATTCCTGTCTCTCATTGTTACGGAGAAAGCAATATGAATCATTGGTGGACCTATCTATGAGAACAATTATTACTATATTACCTAGGACGCACAATGGAAGTTTTCCAACTTGCAGTAGTCTGGTTGAATCGAACATTCCCAATCAACGTGGGAAATTTTAAGTCCTCCATCTATACAGGGTGTCCAAGAAGTCGGCACCAACTTTCTCGATTCAAACAGAAACATAACCTTTTTCACAAATTTTGATTGGCCTTCTGATTCTGAGTTCATAGACAAAGTAATTTATGAAAACATCATTTGTATTCCATAAGCCGTTCAAAATATGAGCACCACATTTGTGGCAGTCCCATTGGATAATTCCGAAAACTTGTTCAAATAGGACCTACTATTTTTGTTGATACCATATGCAAGAAGATTACCCAGGTGGCCCATCAAAATGACTGAATCCTGATTTTATATTAGGCCGAAATACCAGGGAGTCCCAAAATTACATAGAAAGATTACAACCATCACGGATTCTAGGAACAAAAATAGTGAAAAAACATAATCTACACATGGGCCCAGAATAGATGAGGCTTATGGCACTTCTACTCCAAACTTTTTTTTTTGCAATTTTCAGCAGTTTGATCAAGAAATATGAATTTGTCATCAATTTTAATCAAGAATAGTACTCTTGTTTAGTTCCGATAGCACTCACCAATTGAGAGATATATCGATTTTAAGAGTCTACTGCATAGTAAAAATAATAATTTTTCTTAATAGGGTATCTATCAAGGTATCTATAGTATACCACAATTATCAATTTTAAATTTCTTCTTTTCATTGCACCCCCATATTTTCAACCAGAGTAGATGACGAAATAATGTGCATTCCTCATCAAACCATAAATATGGGAAAATTCAGTATACTCTATTGAGGGAAAAGCACTATTTTTATTAAGAAGCTGATTTTGAAGTCGAAGTATCTCGAAAATGGTGAATGCTATCAACACTAAACAGGAGTATCCATTTTCAAGTGAAAATAGTGAGATTTCCATATTTTCTCGTCAAACTGCCAAAAATTGCAAAAGAGATCGATCAACAGCTCTGAAATGGGACAGACACATTGATCATGTTGTGAAAAAATTCAATACCTCATTAATAAATTCCGAATTTTGAGGAACATCCTTGAAATGAAGCATGTGAAATCAATTTATTATGCATCAGTAGAGTCCCACATAACATAAATGGTCTAATAGGATGGGGAGGTGTAACTAAAACATTCCTCAAAAAACTTGAAATAACTCTATTATCTCTATTCCTCCTATCAAGAAAGTGGTATGTCACTTTCAAATGTCGAACATATATAAAACTGATAAGAAAAATAGCAGATCTACAAGTCCTACTCAAAGAATTAACACATACCTACTTCCATTCATGACAAAATCAATTAGTCAGTGAAGCAATGACTATCTATAGGCCCGAAACTATATAACATTTTACCCAATGAAATAAAATCATAGTCTCCTCCTTTATACTTAAAAACACTATATATCATCTACTAGTACACAAACAATCCATGATATTATAAATAATATTATATAGTAATCGGATGCACGTCATGCAATACTCTCATAAACAAAATCTAGAAGATACTCATACTGTTTCTTTCCAACCAATCATTGTGTGATGTTTCAATAAGTACCTATGTTGTTATACGTTGTAACTAGTTAGTACGTACATTTATGCGCCGCATTCCTCTCCTACAATCAATTTCAAATTGTGGTCAAGAATAATCATTGTCATCATCGATATACTTCATACCTTCATGATTCGTTATCTGTGAAAATGCATCACATTAATATTGAATATTGAAATATTTTTTTGTTTCGATCATATCATTTATAAGCTGCTGTTATATGGAACAGGTTGCTATGAGCACATCCTTTCGTTGCCAACCTCGTGATATGTCGAACAGCACTTTAACAAAACTCGTTCTCTATAGAACGTCAAAGCTCTGGAATTCATTACCTTCTCTCCCTATCCTCCAAAGATAGTTACGAACGATGTTTTTCGAATATTATATGTATTCCCTTTCGTGCGCACCAGGCGATAAAAAAATCTTCGTGTATTGTCTAGTTATACAAAGGGTGAACATGGAATTCGAATATAGGTATTTTGTATTTGAAATAGGTCACTTCTCGATATCCTTTTCTCTAAAATTAATGAAAATCAATATCGTCTTGTCCAATACAGTGTGTCCCACTCGGTGTCCCACTTACCATGCTCACCATGGGTATCTTTTTAACGGTGAGAGATACGAGGTCGGTTAAATGACACCAAATGTGGAGTTTCTCAAGGCCAACGATAATGTGAAGAAATATTTCGATAAAATCTATTCGTTTTTGTTTTATACGCAAAAAACAGATTCTTCATTTTTGAAAATATTCGAATAGGAATTTCACATTCTCATGGCAGTTTTTCGAAGTGATTTCGAAAAAAATATGAAATTTATACCAACTCTTCCAGCATTCGAGATATCAGCACCAACTTTAGTTTTTCAAATGTAGGTCATATCTCACTATGACTTAGTTACAAATAATTTTTTTTTCTCTTACAGATGATATGTCGCAGTAATAGTTTTGTGTTGATAACAACGGAGTTATCGTCATTTATACAAAAATAAAAAATTATTCGGAAGCCGCCATCTTGAATTTATGAATTTTAACAAAAAAATCATGATCTCCGACTTCAAAAACCTCCACTTACCAATTTTGAATGGAATCGGACCAAATCTTGTCCGCCATCTTGGAGCAGCCATTTTTTTTGATTTCAACAAAAATTCCATGACTCCGATTAACTTGAAATTTGGCAGGTGTTCATAATTTCGGTGACAATACATCATGGAATTTTTGTTGAAATCAAAAAAAATGGCTGCTCCAAGATGGCGGACAAGATTTGGTCCGATTTCATTCAAAATTGGTAAGTGGAGGTTTTTGAGGTCGGAGATCATGATTTTTTCGTTAAAACTCATTAATTCAAGATGGCGGCTTCCGAATGATTTTTTGTTTTTGTATTAATGACGATAACTCCGTTGTTATCAACACAAAACTATTACTGCGACATATCATCTGTAAGAGAAATAGAAGTTATTTGTAACTAAGTCATAGTGAGCTATGACCTACATTTGAAAAACTAAAGTTGGTGCTAATATCTTAAATTCCAGAAGAGTTGGTATAAATTTCACATTTTTCTCGAAATCACTTCGAAAAACTGCCATGAGAATGTGAAATTCCTATTTGAATATTTTCATAAATAAAGAAGTTACGGAGGAGACATGGAAATGATCAAAATCTGTTTTTTGCGTATAAAACAAAAACGAATAGATTTTATCAAAATATTTTTTCACGTTATAGTTGGCCTTGACAAACTCCACATTTCGTGTCATTTGACCGACCTCGTATCTTTCACCGTTAAAAAGATACCCATGGTGAGCATGGTAAGTGGGACACACTGTATATCAGGAACACATTGTATGATTGTTGACCAATGACAAAAATTTTGATGATTATTTCTTGTAGTGACTTATATTATCAAAAAGTAAGTTGAAAGCTCAAAGAGCATTATTTATTAGGAGACAAGAAATGAAGAATGAGACTTCAGAGGCCTCTAGCGCCAAAACTAGCCATTAAAAGAGATTGGCTACTGAACATTTTGTTCTGAATGCCTTGGACTATAACATATCAGCTAATTCGACAGGTTGCCAATTTTCCCTATAAAACGTGGTGTCCTTTGTTGCACTAATTATGACTGCGATGGTCCTCAAGATACAAATGTCTTCGTAAATTGTTACGGCGGTAATCATTTTGAGAAAAATCAATATATCTCGAAAACTGTTATAGATAAGATAACCTTACCCAGAATTAGAAGGCCAATCGAACCTAACAGTCTGTATACAGGGTGTCCCGAAATTAGCCTGCCAAACTTCACCAGCGGCTTTTACTACCAAAAATAAAAAGAAAACTTTCAATGAAAGTATTCCCAAGAACTTATAACCTCCAAAAGTTTAAATGAAATGGCAATACCTACCTCCTCTCCCTATCCTCCCTACGTACGCACGATGCTCCACGAACATTATAGGATTTTCCTTTCGTGCGCTCCAAGAGATAAAAAACAAAACATTATTTATATTTTTTCAGTATATGAAAAGAAAGAAATTCCTGGAAAGTACCTTTAATTTTTTTTCTACGTTAATTTCGGAGATGAATAGAGAATATATCTGGAAATACTTTTCGATAGCATTTTTTTATGAGATTCAACTTGACGGGAGATTGCCGGTTCACTTCCATCCCAGAAAGTGCATAACGGGCGGGCCTATACAGACGTTGTCACTTCAAAAATATTCTAATTTCGAATGGATCCAGCTGTATAACCACTGACTGAATAAAAAATTCCTCTAGCATAACAAAACACGAAACATTGATTAAATAGTACTTGAATGCAACTTTACCTATAAAAATACACAAGAATACTCCCAGATAGACCCTAATATCTTCAAAGGGCTCGAACGGCAACCAGACATCGATAGGGAATCTCCTTCTCTCGTAGAACAACACCTTAATGGGCCAAGTAAACAGACTCCCCAGACACAGTATCATGAAAATAACAAACATTCTCCGGCAGCTCTTCACAGCCTCCTCGATAATGTGCGATTGATCTCCTGTGGCTCTATTGAAGTTATCGCTATTCACGGTGTGTATGGTTCTCTTTATATCGTCCTGTCGGTTCTTGAAGGGCAAGAACTTCAGAATACAAATACCAACTTCGAGGATCACGAATAAGGTATCGCTGATTTTCGCCAAATTTGTTTCTCTGGCTACAATGAGTTGAATGGTCGCTAATATCGGTACAGGTACTGTGCAGAGGAAATAGATGGTGTAGGCGTAAATTCGGTAAATGTTTGGGTAATTGTCGTAGGGATATAGCCCTGCAAGTTTCATCACTAGCAAATTGCGACCGAAAGATTTTTCGACCAGACTCGTCATTTTTTGAGTTTTGTATGCGCTAGTTTGTGTAGAAAAGTGCTTTTTATTATTTTCATGGTGAAAGAGGGTGTTTCCGTGAACAGATCCGGACTAGCCGCAAGTCGGCTCATTAGAATACTGAGAGTGCCCAACCAAGAATGTATCTTCCATAAAGGTTGTTAGAACTGCTGCTATATAACCAGTCTTATAGAACTGTTAAAATCGTATTAGGCCAGTCAATATAATTAATACAAAAAAATGATTTTCATGAGAAAACTATACAGTCTTCATGAAAATGAATAAAAAATAATCCCATAATAGATATTATTTTGTGTCATTCTGTGTTTCACACATAATGACGCGTTTCCTAACTGGTTATTTTTCTGATTCTGATATGTAATTTGACAATTTTCAAAACTGACGGAAGTTTTGAAACGTCTCACTTTACGTAACCAGTTGCGTAGGTAAATAAAAATATTACAAAACTGGTGATAAATTGATCATTTCAACACAAGTTACGTTATGAAAATATGAATGTGCTGCTTCTTCGATATCACTTGGGAAATTTGTACTCGAATCATTCATTTTCCAATATGAAGATATCAAACGTGTCCATATCGTGAATTTTGTCTCTGATTCGTGACGGCGAAGTCAACTTTCCTGCTAAATTTTGTATATAATTGGTAGAACCCATGTACACAACTGGAAACTATTACTGTTCACGCGAAATTTTCCATCGAAAGTCAATCAAAATAAATTCAAGGATTATATACAATAAACTCAGATAGGTATTCCTTTGGAAAAACGTTGTTAAATGCATTCTGAATATCAAAATATGAAGCTGACAATCCAATAGAAAATCCAGTTGTGGAGTCTCGTGTGGAGCATCATGGAAAACCGACAGCATTCAGTTGAATACCATGAAAAGTCCTTGCACAAATGAAGATTTTTGACAAAATATGTAGGTATACATTAAATTTGTGACAAAAAATTGAAGCGCCCCACTTTAGTTACCTTGTTCTCTTCAGAACACTATACAGTGATACAGTTCTATAATTTTGTTTATCTACAACTATCGTACTCTACATTGATCACATATAGGTTAGTAATTGACGAATGAAGATTATTCCAAGACACCGTGGATCCCAACTCATTAGTCAACGGCACTCGACCAATCACAGATTCAGAATTTTCAGGATCCACTGCAACTGAAAAGGTTAGACTAATGAAAAACCAGCTAATCTACCAAACACATTTCTCAAGAAGGCTCTGCTTCATTTTACGGGTCACGTCACGGCTTGACTTTCGCGAATGTCAGATTGACTTATAGAGTCTTTTAAGTTTCAACTTTGATATCTGGAGGATATAATGGAGGCTTGCCGTTCCATAGAAATGTACTCTATGAATATTGAAGATATTCAAGATCTTGGGTCTGCATGGATGATAACTATTCCTGAGAACAAAACAAAAATTGTAAGGAGGTTCACTGTAACCGGAAAATTTTATCAATTTTGTGAAAAGTACATTGATATTCGAGCAGCAAATGTTGTGATTTCCAATTTTTTCATGAATTACCAAAAAGGAAAATGTACTCTTTAGAAAATTGAAATTAATAAGTTTGCAGCAATGGGAAAACAAATAGTTTCATTTTGAAAGCTACCATATCCCGAGATGTACACCGGGCATTGCTTTGCTTGTCAATGCAGGTGGAGGTATAACAGAATTGAAAAGACATGGTGGCAGAAGGATTTCTAGAAGATTCCATGTTGAATAAAAAAAAGGCAGATTCGAATTCTTCAATGAATCGAACAATATTCATCATCATCGAATAACAGTTCCTTCACACAAAAAACATCAACTAGCAATATGAATAAAAATGTCAGTGTTGATTTAAATGCAACACCAACAGTTAAATTTCACGAATTGTGAGAATATCACTAAAAATTTAGTCACTAAGTACGAGAAACATAATTTACTGACCTAATAGTTATTGTGTTGTTTCATCATTGAGTTCGTTGAATATTAAAGATTCCTGTCAATTGTATTATCATATTAGAGTTCATACATCAAGTATATTATTTTCATAAATAATAATTAGATTACATTAAATTTCTGACTATCGTATAGTCGTAGAGAAAGTATAGTCTTCTACTCGCGTATAATAGCTATTATTCTACGCTCGTTGAAGAATATACTATTATCTACAACTATTCAGTCATTCATGCATTGCTAACTCGATTTTCAATACTTAGTGATTATTGTGATGAATCGAGTAATAAGACTAATAATGACAGTTAAGATGGTGTAATAATTTGACATCCCATCTTGTCATATTCAAATAGATAGGTCTTTGTGAGAAAAAAAACTCTAATAGAACTATTCAGTTGTACCAGAACTTTACCTCAGTGAAAAAAATAATTCCTATTTTCATGTTCCAAGCTGATGAGGAGCATTTCATGTTAATTCTTATTATATAATAATAATAATAAATTGCCTTCATTTATCCTGGCGGAGATTAGCAAGGCTACTCTTCCACTCAACCAGGTTAAAAATATCAAGTACATTCTTGTATACATTATTCATAATATTAATAATAATAACAATAATAACGCAATAATGATAATAAAAATACCTGTAGTAATAGCAGTATTACCAATAATGATAATAATAATGATAATGAACAATACTAACGATAGCAATAGTGACAATAGTAATAATAATGATAACCGTTTTTGTGGCTTGAAGAGAAGAGATCATGGATCATGAATGAATCACTGCCTGCCGAAAATGATGTCCTTGAGCTTAATTTTGAAGGATATCAGAGACTCAAGTTTCATATAATCACTGTAGATCGATAAATATAACTGAATAGTGAATCGTAATAATCGCAGAAGGCAGATTTTCGAAAGCATCAGTCATTTACAAAAGAAACTTTGTATCGGAAGATACAGTCCTGTACCTAACTACTAAATTAAATGGTTGTTCAAAATACTGAATAATATACGCATTCATTATCGGGTTTCAATTCCTGAGTTCGAATTATATTCTTCCAACAAGTTATTATTAGGAAATTATTGCAGGCTTCATCCAAACACATAATTTTCGACGTCGAATATTCCTGTGAAGCTTGAATAATGGATTGTATGTTTTTACACTTCTGCCGATGAATTAAAGGAAATGTCAGAACTCATTAGAAAAATAATTAATACTCATCACTTAATTTGTACGTTCAGTTGGTTCATCAGTAATAATAATTATATGCCAAGTTAAAGAAGACATTTTTTCTACAAGCGTGCGTGATTCACCCTATACCCGCACGCAATTCAGTTTGGGAAGTGTAATTTTCCCGCAAAATTGCGGATAATTTTTTCACACACTAGTGCGGGAAATTTTTCTGCGCACTAGTGCGGGAAAAACAAAGATATTATGATACGGCAAAATATAAGTGGTAGGTGATGGAATATGAGAGTTTGAGTTTGTTTCTTGCAGTATTAAGTATGTATGTTCAAAATCATCCATCAGAGTGCACTATTTATTGTGAAAAATAAGAAATATTGAAAAATGAAAATTGATTATTATGAAAATCCCCCTATTGATTTTGATTGATATGATGGGCAACGATTATTGTTGTCATGCCAATCAAACCTCAATTTTTTTTTTGCAATTACATTACCTCGTTGGTCCCAGCACTGGGACCAAACGACCCATAAGTCGAAACTTGTGCGGGGTTAGGTAAGTATACAAACACAAACATCCATGGTCTAACTAGGATTCGAACCTATGTCTCGGTGGGAGTCCCCATACGAACTCAGCGCATTCACGCTCTCGACCACCGAGCCGCCGAAGTGACAGACATAGCGTTACTGTCATTTTCGATTCAATGAAATTGCCACAATGTGATCGAAAACTTCCAGCTATAGGGATGCGATACAGATGCGTTATGGCCAACGAAGTCTCAAGAAAGGTATGAGAAGCTATACGTTTTATTGTATGGTGCAACAATAAAGAAATGAAAATACCGAATAAAGAAGAAGTATTTTTGGCTCATTTCCTAGAAGTGTCTGAAACCTAGAGACCAAACACCTTATGGGCCTGCTGGCTTTCGCAATGAACCTATACATAATGCTTCAAACAGTAAGTCCACAATAGCTATTACTTATAATCAGTAGACAGAGAATATATTTCTCTTGTTAGTTGTTCCTATATGAATGAATAATTAATTGAACAAATCAATCAATTTCCTACGCTTGTAGAAAAAATATTGTTCACTTTGCGCACTTGTTAGGAAAATTACTATTAATAAGCTGAGCTGTATTACTTATGCTAACAGAAGGTGTGAACTGTCTAAATTAGTTTATGATGCACGAACAAGTGTTAGTAGCCCTTGGCTGCCTGGTTTTGCGAGCGTAAAGTGGAACTTTAGCGCCCGCAGGCTACTTTATTGCCCAGTAACTCATAATAAACATTATAGTATGATTTTAGTTATGATGGTCTATTATCAAATTCCACAGTTCTCTTTATGTTTCCAAGATGCGAAATGATATGATCCAACCCAAAATAAGTTATCTGCAGTGACATGAATTGACAGCTAATGATAGTCTACTATTATTTGGAAAAATTGCCTGAGTTACCATATGGTAACGTTGATGCCATCGATGATATTTCTCACTGCCACCATGTTGTATTTCTATCGCCCTTGAGAGATGAAGAGGTAGGTACTCATCGATACTTATTTCATCTTCTCTTCTAATGTGAAAATCAAGCGTAAAGTTCCAAGCTGATAAGAACAAAAAACGCAATACTGATCAAGTGAAACCATAGCTTGAGCTTGTTCACATCGGCCACATAATTTTTTCACTAAATATTTGAAAAACAGGCCTGAACCTGCAAGGCTATCGTACAAAATTTTGAGACTTTCGACTTCGATAGAGACCTCACGTTCTACTAACGCCAAGTGCATGGTGAAACTTGAAATGTTAGCCCTCTTTTGATGAAAAGACAATGGGCTAGTGGACTGATAATGAATTATTGGCATTCAATTACTCCACTGTGACGTTAGGAACTTAAATTGATTTTTGCAACCCTCCTCACGCTTTTTTCATGTAAATAATGAGTCAATGCGTTGTTCGAAATTGTCAGTAACATGCACTCAGATTTTTCACTATTTGTGGTTAATTTGTTCTCATGAAAAAAACCCTCAGTTCTACTCCTAAGTACGGAACCCTTATCCACGACATCAACTGAATTTGGACCTCTCAGGACGAAATTGGTGTCATCAGCATAATTAAGAATCTTTATGGTATCATCATTGACTACATTAACTGAATCATTAATAAAAACTATAAAGAGTATTGGACCCAGGATACTGCCCTGCGGAACCCCCATGGACGTCTCTAATACACTCTGGATCTAACTGTTGCCTGATCTGTAGTAATTTCAACAATCTGCTTTCTCTTTTTCAAGTATGATTCTAGCCAGCTGTGAGCCTTACCTCTTATGCCGTATTTATATAACTTATCAAGTAAAATGTAATGATCGTAGGTAATATCCCGAGACCATGACAAATAGCCGACTATTATTTTCTTCATAATTCAATCGAGAGTAATTTGTATTTTGACAATTTGATGAGACCATATGAACATCAATAATCTGAATAAATCCCGAGAGCTTTAGCTCGAGGGAGTTATTCTTTGATTATTTACGAATTCCCGTAGTGGAAGTTGACCCAAAACGAGACATTTCAATTTTTGAGTGACTGATAGCTATGTCAAAGTTTGACAACCATAGCACTCTTATGCTGGCGAACAGAATAGCCGCTCATATTGTTTGTTTACCTAAATAGCCGCTGATATCGCATGTCATGTGACTTCAATCATGACATTTAATAGGTCCAGCCGGGTGTGAATGAAATAATCTATGCTATCAAAAGCTTTTGAGAGGTCCACGAAAATTCCGCAGGACAGATCACCATCATCCAATGCTTCTAAAACTTCAGTGGTAAAGTGAAATAGTGCGGTTTCTGTTGATTTATTTTTCAAGTATCCATGTTGATTTGGTGAAATTCGAAAAACGATATTATTCTTCGAGCCATCAGGATTTCGAAGATTTTTGCAAAACATGTTAGCAAACTTATATATAGATCTATAGCTAGAAATAACACCTGTGTTGCCCTTTTTAAAAAGTGGTTTCACAACAAAAAATTTCAAAATTTCTGGGAGAACACCCTGAGAAAAAGACTTGTCTACCAAAAATGTCCAAATTTCTGAAATTTCATGTGTGCAGGCCTTCAGGACATGTATTGGTACATCATCAATTCCAGTGCTTCTTTTGTTTTTCATCTTCCTAATAATGGATGCTACCTCATCAGGCGTTACTGGTTGTAAAATTGTATTCGTCTTTTAAGATTGATCAAGTGGTTGTGAAAGTGATGTGTGTTGCATATTTTTGCAGTTACTACAAGCAATTGATTTTATTAATAATAATAATAATAATAATAGTACTTTATTGAACCAAACATGATCCAAAGGGTTATTGACCGAGGTCCTTCTACCCTGATTTTATTATTATACCTAAAAATAAGTTGAAAAAACAAGAGGCAGATGAGTCTGAAAAATTTTGACAGTTCAATGTAAACATGGAAGAAGAGCAATTTCCTCTGTATAATACTGAATTATTGGCTCGAATCACGTATTAGTTGCGTTTTATTTATCCGATTCCGCCACCGGAATCAGTTTGATGTGTCGTTTTATTTGCAACTTTTCCGATTCCGGTTGCTACTTTCCATTCAGTCTCACTACAAGGAATGATGTGGAATGACTGTTGACAGGAGTCAAAAAATCAAATTAGATTGATGAAAAACGAACGTTTTTGAAAGTAAAAGACATTTATAGGAGACATTTTCAGCGTGAGTTTCACTAGTTCATGATTCTTTCAAGTAAGACAGGTTTCATATGTTCATTCCCAGATAAAATAAACTCTGTCGATTTCAGAGAAGTTTCTTCAATCACCACAATCACTGCTCCAAATATTAGTTGATTCATTTTCTAGATTCTTAACTCTAGTATTATGCTTTTGAAATTATTTGGATCTCCCATATACGAATATAACCTCTTATGTAAATTCTCTCAAGCAAGGTTATGAAATTTCTCGTTTTATTTGTAAACGTCATTCTGTTCCCGACACCGCTACCAGAATGGAACAAATAAAACGCACCTATTTTGTTATTCGGTTCAAATCACCAAGATGTCATTAGATTGTAAAAAAAATGAAATAATTCACCTGTCATTGTATTCAAATACATAATTTATTCACAATCGTCTATATAACATACTAAATTACACATTCCCAGAGGAAATAAAAACAAACACATGAATCGAAGCGGTGGATTGTTTCGTAGGATCGGCGGTACCTCACTGTTAGTAGTACCTGTGGGCAGTCGGGAGCGTGTTCCAGGACCAGCCGTTACCTAGTCCGTAGCCGTAGCTCCTTTGTAGACCGTAGCTGTTTCCTAAACCGTAGCCGTAGCTGTTTGCTAAGCCGTAGCTGTAGCTGTGTTGAGGTTCGTAGGTGTGAACGTACTGGCGTTCTTTTACGTAAACTGGGGTACGTACTCGTACTTGAACGGGGGTCGGTACTTCAACGGGGTAGGGTTGGGGGATGGAAACTCGGACAGCGACTGGCTCCTAGAAAAAATATTCAGCTTTGACTCAGGTATTCCTGATAGGTTTTCATGAAATTCATGAATTTGTCTTGAACACTCTCATTACTACATTATTTCCATAGGCCTTTTGAGGAGTAAAAACTGCTTCATCATTGAACTCATTGTGCTTCATCATTGTCTGGTGTAAACCTTGCTCACCAACAAAAGAATGAATCACCAAAAACCACATTTGTTATAAGGATTGATCATCTGAGATTGTGCGATAAAAAGTTTGATGAATAATATAATAAACATGATTTATGATCATCCAAATAGGTTTGGTAGGTATATTTCAACTAGCTGATGGAATAACATGTCCCAACATTTATATTCGCGAATACGTATAATGTGGACTATTGGGTCGATTATTGAGTAATATTTACTTGTTACGGTTACGTAATAATAAATATATATACTACATGTACCTACTACGACCAAAATGGAGAATAAATTACGTGTGAATATTACGGTTTGTCGTTGAAATTTTCTTGCCAAACCAAAGCAAATAATTTGCTCCAGGTTGTCACTTCGCTTGAAATGTCACTATTAAAAACCTGAGAGAGCAATTCCGTCGGTAGTCAGTGACACCTTGGTTGAGAAATGTTCGAAGAAGAAGAACTCGAAATATATTATTGATGGATATGGAGTTTCACCTATGTCATTTGTTTCGGCATTCACTATTGGCACCTCTAAGTGACATAGTTGTTGTGTTTCAGGATCATATGATTTTAAATTCATCATTTTCATGCTTAGATATTGATAATTGAATATCATATTCTATCTAGAAGGTGAACCATTTGAAAACGAGCGATTTTGGCGATTTTTTTTCTAAATATGGGAAAGTTTATAGGTTTGTTCTGGATCTACTGGTCTACTAGATCTCATCCAGAGGCTGAGAAATCCAGAATAGATGTTGCTGTTGAATAATTTCTCATGAAACTTAGTACGGATCTATTGTAGAGGACGCCAATTCCAGTGGAGTATGCATGCGGATTCAAAAAAAATCGCTTATATAGATTCTGGATTTTTCAGCCCCTGAATGTGATCAAGTAGGCCTTCGTTTTGAAAAAAAATCAGACGCTGCCTAGCTCCAAAATACACCTTTCCTCCCCCTCCCTTCAAATTTCTGAGAAAAAATCGTCAATATCATAAATGCGAGCTGATTCTTCGATTTTCATTCTTGATTGTTAATTCTTTTCCTATCATTTTAATATTATTCCAGTTAGTTGTCCATTTCCAATCGATCAAATTTTCACTATCAAGCTATGAAATGAGTCCTAGTTGCTCTACTTTTACTGACTTTTACTGAATACTACTTATTATGTGAGAAACATTCAGGAAATAATCGTTAGTGACTCGGCAACTGCGCTCTGCGTTGTCTCAATATAACATACGAGATGTAGAGCGATTTAGTTTGATCCTGAATCTCTTTTTTCTATATGTGAACATTTTTTGACGAAATCAGGTGGGTGGTAGGTAGGTAGGTTCTTCATGAGAAGATGACCGTACATGTTGAAATAACCGTCATACTGGCGATATAGATTCACCCGGTGTCTAATCACAATGTCATCAACCAAACATTTCGTAGATGTTCGAAACCCATATTTGGATCAGTGACATAATAAGGGCTGACATCATTTCATTGTCCACCACATCACACCACTGAAACGTGAGGTCAGAGTTGGCCGAGGAGTTGGTAGAACTGATGAATAAATTTATTTTCTTCCGTATCATTTGGCATATTCCTAGAATAACTTCTTCTCCGTCAATGTAAGAATTGGTCGTAGAGTTCCATATCGGGAGTCTGCTCAAGTCTTTCCATAACTTGAGGTTTTTTATTCGTTCAAATATTCTACATCATTTTTTCCGAATATTTTCGATAGAACAGGCCACATCCTTCGAGGCTATCCGGAAAATTTTGAGAATTCTCACTTCGACATTGACCTCACGTTTTAGTTACTCCAACTGGCTAGACTGCAAATATTAGCTCTCATTGCAATGAAGATAACACGTATCGTTCCTTACTGACAATGTAGTTTGAATGAGAGAACCAGAACTTAGTGAGTAGGACAACCACCGCTCCTCACCTTGACTACTACACGCCTAAGGACCTCCACTGGTACCCTGTTGATAACCTCGACAGGGTACGGCCTAGGTACTTCCACGGGTACATTCTCCTGTTCCTTCACCGCTACTGGTACCGGGACATTGACAGCGTACGGCCGGGGAACATCTACTGGTACTCTCACATGTACTGGTACTTCGTATGGCCGGGGTACGTCTACGGGAACTGCTTGTGGTACCGCTACCGGCCTGTCGACGGTGACTGGATAGGGTTGGGGTACTGCCACTTGCACGTGTTGGGTTTGGACACGGTCTTCGACAGTGTGTGGTACTTGGGCTGAGTAAGCTGAGTGAACAGAAAAATTAGAAATCAGTAATTTAATGGTGGCCAGTTGGTTTGAGAGCTTCTATACGGGGTGAATGGAATTCGATCCTTACTATTGGGATCTCGGAAACTTTGAGAGATAAGAATATGGTTAAATTGGGACGAAGTTGCGCTTGCATATCCAATACTTCAAACTCAAAGCAAATTATGGTCGAGGGCAACAGATAGACTTTTCAATATGATGAATTTCAGAATGTGTTAATAATTATGGAAAATATATGATTAATTGATGAAATTTAATGAACATGATTTCCATTCGTGATATAATTCGAAGTTGAAACTGGCAGTCATCGTGGCCAATGAATCGCAAAATAGTTATTTATGTACCAAGGACGAAAAACTGTCTATTATAGTTGAACCTGCAAATTGATAGCCGATTACTAACCGAGGCAATATCAATGGCAATATACAGTTTTTCACCGAGGAGCATATTATATTTCTTCGTCGATCTCGAACTCTTATATTCACACGACGGTCATATTCACACGTGAAATCTATCGGATTTCGTAATAGTTATTTACCTAAGAAGTGCGCAAAGCAGTACTTTTCAGCACGCGATGGCAGTTGCACGAACGACGCGGAGCACAGTTCGAGCAAGTCGTCAAAGGCAGAAAAGACATTTTCCGCAAGAGTTAGGTGTACAAAGTTTTTCCTACGAGTGTTTTTGGCCATACTATTTATAAAAAAAAGGTATTTAAAAAACAAAATTTCATAATGATGCTACAAAATGACACATATGACAAAATAGTTACATGGATCATTTAGTTAGTCCCAAATATGCTTATTTTCACTTTTCAGCACTAGTGCGGTAAAGTATTTTTTTCGCACGATATTTTCATGAACTGAAAAATAATGAAATAGATTTTTTTTTCATCGATATAATAGAAAACCTATTTGAAGAACATTTGAATAACAATAACTAAAACATTGACGATGGTAAATATTGAAATTGAAAGTGTAATTTGTGTTTGTTGCATGCTATAATATAGCAGATGCTGCAACATCTTGAAGAACGTCGTTTCTTATTTGAATTTGATTGGTTAGTGTTTAACTCATTATAGAAATGCCTTGATCAGTTTTGTTGCTGAGAATTACTTTTTTTCATGTTCTGGTTCCCACGAAAATGGATATCCTGTAATGTTCAGAGAACATCGTGAGAACCAAGGGAAATAAGGTAGGAATTGGTGTTCTTCTTAAATTTCTGGAGGTTAAATGCCTCGGGGAACACCTACCTTGGCAATGTGTTCCAGAGCCTCGCTGTTCGTTGGATGAACTAGTGTATAGTGAATGGAGGAAGTAGATTGGTCTGAAATGCTTATTTGTTGACTGTCACTACTGTATGAGTACGTTCTGGTGCCAACAGTTATCACCACATGTCTCCTGGTATTTTTTTCGAAATCAAGCGGAGAAGTAAAAATAATGCGGAAAAGTAAAATCGTACGGAAAAGTACATCTTTCAAAACGAAAAATCATGCGGAAGAGTTACTTTCTCGCACGCTCGTAGGAATATAAATATTTGACAACAGCAAATGACAGTTGGAAGCAGTCAACTCAGTCGCGTCTCTCGCACCGCATCATATATCAGCTAACGAAAAGTGTTTGCGCGGACGAAATTTTAGAGTCTACGTAAAATGTAACTTTTTGTAGAGGTGTTCTTATTAATTTTTTTTTTTCGTCTTGTATTATCCACTTCATTGGTCGCTCAAATTTTGGGAAACAACCTGTTTGTCCACCAAAGAAGATAAGATTCTCACGAAATTCATTGTTTCGACATGCACTAGTTTTTTGAAGTTAAAAATTCGTTCAATAAAGTAATTAGTAGAAAGCTTCTTCGGAAATTCTATCGCTTCCACCACGGATTTCCATCAAATAATTGCCAAGACAATTGAAATGGAAATAGCAATTTTTTCCTGAGTATTCATCATTCAGAAACTATGAATGAATTCGGGAATAAATAAATCATTTGGTTATTAGAGTAGAGTATCTGAATATCTTGACGAATAAATAAGGATCCTGATGTAGATAATTCGAATACAGCAATCGTTTTCAAAAATAATCAGAATACTCTTTTGGAATATTCGTAATGATGAAATCTGATATAGGCTCCCCAAATTTCAGGTATTGATCTAGGTATCTGTCACTTGCTACAAGTAATGATTTCATTTCAATTATACATTTTGTGAGTCAATTCAAACGTTCATCAATAGGTACGACTGTATATAATAAATAATAACTCAGCGATGGAAACAAATCTGAAACTAATTGATAAAATATCAAAATGATTAACACATCATGCGTGTTTAATGAGTGGAACATTCAATTACTATGATAACCATTATATTTACAACTATTCCATGGAGAAGCAAATTGTGGATAATTGCAAAATAAATCATACATATCGATAATTCTATTCAATAGTTGATTGAAATCAAAACGGGATTTCATGTGAATAGGTCGAGACTTGCGAAAACACACATCATTTTTTGAATTGACTCGGCCATTACTTGATAGAAAATACCTGTGATGCTGCGACATTCAATTTATTTTGGTGCAAGGTTATTCACTATAAGTTGACCGTACCTCCTCAACTTTGGAAGTATATTATAAATGAGTTGAATGGAAAATACAGATAAAATATTTCTCTCATACCTAGATAACTATAACTTCTAGATTTTGAAATATCCCTAAACATCCTCTTAGAGATCCTCCTGTTCCGAACTGAAATGATTAGAATTCATGTTGTCGCACATTTTTCGACATATTCAAGTTCATTCAACATTGTGAATGTTCTGAACAAGGGCTCTGAATAATATATAATACTGATGGAAGTCGAACAACACCAAAGGTAACCGAGAAACAATGAGGTAAAAACCATACAGGCGACTCCACCAAAACTATAAATGTTCTCCTATATACCTATTGTTTTCCAGAATTGATCAACTCATTTCTTCAAATATAATTTTCAAATATATCCTATTACTCATTGGTGGATTGCTATTCACAGATTTTGGAGATTATATCAAACTTTACCTGAATAGCTTTCAATCCCGTTTATGAGTCCTCCATATCCATAACCAATATGGCGTTTGGATTTGATCGCTGAGACACCATCTTTCTTCTTGTCCTCAGCTGCATTGACAGTGGACAAAGCGAGGAGTGCAAAACACTGTAAAATATCAAATTCAATTTTAGTTTATTTGTTTATTATTATGTTGCATCTATCGCACAGTATATGAGATAATAATTATTCATGAATATAGTATACACAAAGATGACGTACAGCATCTTCAGAGATCATGTCGCGGTTGGACGGTGTCAGCGCTCTTATTGCAGGAAATATTAGGAATGCTATCATCGTCCATATGCGACATATTTTCTGAAGACGACTGTACCTATGTTATGGTTTGATATATCTAGAATCAAAACAGTCATCAAATGGGATTGCAAAGTCTAGTGAGATAAGGAGAAATGACAATCATGAATCAGAAGATTTCCTATACAAACTTTCAAGGTGTGATTGTGATATTGGGGACAAAGACAAGATAGGGATCACCATTCCAACTGTGCATGGTTGAAGGGGGAATAGTGGTTGGTAAATATTTTCAAGTTCAGGACAATTTGAATATCGATGTACATTTTTATGATAATGAGCAGGTACACATGCATCCACGAGATGAATAATTTTCCTCATCAGGTGTTTTGCTCGGAAATCTGGATTACGAATGAAAATTGAGACAGTTTAAAAAATATAATTTGTGCATACATTTGTCAATCTCTTGAACTCCCTCTACCGCCCCACTTCTTTCGATCTACGACTTATGAGACACCCTGTATATTCGATCGCAATGGAATGTATTGTTTTTTTATATAATTCGGAAATTCCTGCATACACAGTGAAAGATGTATGTTATTGAAAAATCTATTTTTTTATCGCTTGGAGCGCACGAAAGGGAATCCCTATATAATGTTCAAAGAACATCGTGCGTTCCTAGGGAGGATAGGGATAGGAGGTAGGTATTGGAATTTTTTTTGAACTTCTGGAGATTATATGTTGTTGGGAATCCTTCCTCAGGCAATGAATTCCAGAGCCTAGCCGTTCTATGGATGAAGGAGTTTTGATAAAGTGCTGTTCGACATCTTTCGAGGTTGACAACGAAAGGATGTGCTGACTGGGCTTGTCTAGTTGGTTAATACAGGCAAAATCAGATACACATCGTTGCTGATACCATATCAAATTGTAAGTATATCTTCAAACCGACGTTTGAGCTGCCATCATCAATTCTGTTCTTAAAATACGGCCCTGGATTTTTATCATAGATTCAAATAGCTTTTGATCTCCCGAATCAACGGTGTATCGTAATAGTTCGAAAAATATCAATGGCATTTCCCATAAGAAGTCATGTGCTAGATAGAGACCACGAGAATAGATTTTTAATCGAATCAAAAACAAACACCTTATTCGAATGACTGCGATACCCGTTGGTTTTGGGAAATCAATAGTTCTTCAAATTCATGATGAAAATTCCAGAGATGTATTTAAAAATAAACTAATAAGTTGACGATGGCAGCTCAAAGACAAAACGGCGGTATGACAATCTGACAACACAATTTTGTAGAACAGAAAAGATAGAAACGAGAATGATTATTAAACTGTTTCACTACATCTATTCAGATTTTTTTCACTCACTCGGTAGAAACTACTTTCCCTGTCACACTCATTGAGCATATGGAAATCACGAACGCGAATATCTTCGTAATCATGTGGAATAACTCTATATTTCAAACCCGATATAGTTGAATTCGTTATAATATTGCCTAACCGATTGCGGAATGAAATACAGGGGTGTCACATTTGAAGATCAAAAGTTGAGGTCGTTTCCGGTGAAACCAGAAGTGATGGAAGAGTATGGACGATTGCAAAATTCTGCACTTTTCAGATTCTACACTTTTGCCAAATTTGAATCTGATACCTTCAGAACTCTGGGAAGCATGAGGGCTTGTCTAATGAATTCATTGCCGCACCCGAGTTGCCACCCTGTAGATCATATAACTCATATCTTACTCAATAATCGAATTCAATTAATATCCCCACCTTGAGCGATTGTTTTTGTTAAAAAAAAATGTGGATAAAGAGGCGATCATACTTCATCATGATAAAGTCTAACATGTTCAGAGCCTAAAAAAATGGTTGCCATGAAAAATTGGTTTCTAATATTTTTTTATTCAATTTGAAAACGACAGGGTAGATGGCCATATTGCCAACACGGTGCCGGCAATATGGCCAAGCATGCAAAAGTCGAAAACATATATACATATGAAGTTAAATCAGGTTAAGATATATTTTTTCTTGACTGTTACCTTAAATCGATTGCTTTTCACCACAATCTGAGCTCTACTACCTGTCTATGTATGGAACACAAAATTGTGCAGGTCATTAAAACTATCTTTTTCAACTCTATAATGAAAAATTGAACGTTGAAATATAATACCGGCGTCTTAACAAAATGATTTTTAGCGACACCAGTCTGATAACGCTTGCAACTTGCTGTTTAACCGACTAAAATCTGACAGTAGGTTAACAGAAAACTGTGTGTATGAATCGTTAATGAAACAAACAAAGCCATATTTCGAATTTTCTAATTCAACTCACCAAGAAGGCTCTCATTTTCGATCTTGTCCAATCGACTACTGATACGTCTATCTAAAAATGATCTCTTTTTATAATGAATGCCATTTTATTTTGTGATGATCTTGAAGGACGGTCACTCTACCTGCTTCTGATATGGTTAATATATTAGACACCTCTAAAATAAATAACAGGAAAATATTTGTAGTTGATTCTTCATCAGTTAACGAAATATTTGAATTTCATCTATATGAATTTGAATTTGATTTCTTCCACTTGGATTATCACATATATACAGGATATATAAAACAGTGAAATAGTGATTCAGTATTCCAGATTGTTTTGGGATTTCCTCTCCTCGTTTCTATAAAATAAAAATATGAATACTATTTCAATATAAGTGTAGTGAGAACAAATCAGGTGATTTGCCTCAAAATGTCACTGATCTGAGTTCACCAAATTTGAATAATGCAATTTCGTTCGATGGTAGAAAATTGATTGATTGATTGTCTTTATTACCCCAAAAAACATTTCTGTTTATGATAGGGATACATGAATACATATAAAAAAATAATAATAAAGGGTTAACTAATGAATTCCACCCAGTGGAAACGAATTAATATTGTTCCTTACGATTAAAGTTATATTTCATTTCTCAGTAATCTAAACATGCCACATATTTTTCATTCAAATTGTCCTGAGCAAGTATTTTTTAAGATTGATTTTAAACCTTCTTGCATCATGTATATTTTTCAACTCATTCGGTAATGAATTGTTTAAAATTATTCCATTGTGAAAAACAGATTGTTTGCCAATGTTTGACTTGAATGTATTTGCCATCAAGTATAATTTCAATTGTCTAGTTCCATAATTATGGACTGTATTGACTTCATTAAAAGCTAAATTTGATATTTTCCATATATTCCTGGCAGAATGAATAAAGCAACATATTTTAAGTTTATATAACGAAATCAGGTTCAGAAAATGTCTTGGTTTGTGTAAATTTATCGTTGGTTCTATAAAATGTAGATGAAAAATGCACTTAATTGATTTGTTTTGTAATTTCATTAGTGGTTTCAGACGTGAAATATTTGGACTCCCCCAAATTGAGATTAAATATTGCAAATTTGAATAAATGAGGCAAAAGTAAATACATTTCAAGTATTTTACGGAAATAATATTTCGGATTTTGAATAAAATGCCTATGATCGGATTCATTTTATTTCTCAAATGGTCTATATTAGCCCATAATAATTTTTCGTCGATATAGAGACCTAAAAATTTTGTCACTTCTGTATATTTAATTAAACTATTATCGAAAGTTATATCATTATTCGAAATATTAACTGATCCTTTGGAAATATACATATATGCTCACCTGGTCCGGTAGCGATATACATACGCGATGCTGAGTTGATAATAATTTTTCTGTCCTTTTTCTGGCGTTGCCAAGCTTCATAGCAAATTCTACCATATAAAGACGCGATAAATAATTTTCATTATAATTATTGAAGTTCTTTCCAATAAACTGATACTGATTATAATTTTGAATCATTTCTGGATTAATTAGGAAGCTACAAAACTAAACAGTCACTACGTTTAAAGAATTTTCCTATAAGAGAGCTTAAAAAAATATATAGCTTGTCAGTGACAATTTGAATATTGAAATAGTATTCATATTTTTATATTGAGACGAGGAGTGGAAATCCCAAAAAACAATCTGGGATAATGAATGTACCACCTCCTCGATTACCATACAGACAGTATTTTGTAAAATAGTGATTTCTTCGTATAATTTTGAACCAATCAGAACGTTCAATTGATCATTTCAGATGTTAAACTGACACTCTTTGTGATTATACAAGTTATCGATGTAAAGCCAATATTTTGAAGTACTTATAGTATCACTTTAGAATATAAGCAAGAGGGTTGGGCCTCGATGCAAAACGTTTTTTTGACCTTCTGTCCATATGAAATATTCTTTTTCTACAAGCGTGCGTGATTCACCCTAAAATACAAGTGGTAGGTGATGGAATATGGAAGTTTGAGTTTGTTTGTTGCAGTAATAAGTATGTATATGTTCAGAATCATCCATCAAATTGCACTATTCATTGTAATAATCAAGAAATATTGAAAAATAAAAATTCATTATTATAAAAATCCCCCTAATAATTTGGATTGATCTGATCCCAATGCCAATCAAACCTCAAATGAATTTGTAATTGTCGAAGTTACAGACACAGCGTCAGTGTCATTTTCGATTCAGTATAATGGGCTTCGCGTCGTTCGTGTCAACGGCAGTCGCGTGCGGGAAAGAATCACTTTCCGCACTTGTTAGGAAAATTACTATTTTCTCATTCAGAATCTAAAACTTGTAACACCGCTTATCTACGAAGTCGTTAAAATTTTTCAAATCGCTCGGACAGGTCGGTGTTAATTTGGCGGGGGACACATTTTTCTGTAATTCTCACATCCCAAAGTTGAAACCCTGAAGCGGAATGGGCATCAACTTTCGATTTTCAAATGGAACACCTTGTATTTCATTTCATGATCGGTTGGTGATTATGATTAGAAACCCAACGATACCAAGTTTGATGGGCAAGTTGAAAACTTAATCAGCTGTGATCTCCGTAGCCGTTTGAGAAAACCCCATCAAACTTGGTAACGTTGGATTTGTAATCAAAATCACTAACCGATCATGAGATGAAATACTGATATGAGTATCACAGAGAAATGTGTCCCTCTGCTAAATTGAAATCGACTGGTTTTCAATTTTTTTAAGGACTTCGGACACGAAATGGGTGACAAATTTCAGCTGGGACACACTGTATACTAATTTCTACAAATTGTATTCAATTCTTTCAAGTTCTTTGGGGTTCTGTAAATGAAACAGGGTGTTTCCAAATTCGACAGATAACGCTTAGCAGGTGATAGCCATCTTGATTTCATAATTACTGACATAGTGTTCAGTGTTCAGTTCTCGAAATACAGGGTGTTGAAATTGAGCAATAACTCAGGAATGATTGAATATGTTGCATTCAAATTCGGTATATGGTTTCATCTTCGAATGGGCGATTCTTTGACCTGAAAGTCATTCTGGAAATTTCCGTCAGTGGTGCACAGGTAGTGGTTACTTTTTACTGCATTTTTTCAACGCCACTGATGAAATTTCGATTAATTTCAATTTCTTGAATTCATTGTTCAATTTTATCTGAAAAATACATCACCTTCAACTCAGCTGAATAGAAGTTTGCGTAGTAATTTTTCATCACTTTCAGTTGTAGTAAATTACAAAAATAGTTCTCGGGTGGTGAGTAGATCATATACCTTTCAGATCCCATTGTGTACCTATAGACAGAATTAGTTATTTCATGCATAAAGGAAAACAAACATTTTTGTAATTTCAATTTCCTACTAGGTCCTGAAAATTATGAAAAATTACTATGCAAACTTCTATATTGGATCAAATATTTAGTAAACTGTTCATTTCAGGTTTGTCGAAGGTGATGCAATTCTTGAACTAACTTGAATAATGAATTCGAAAAATTGGAAATTACCGAAATTACATCAGTGGCGTAGTGGGGGGGGGGACTTTCTAGTCAGGAAATGACCAATTTGAAGATGAAACCATATACGCAATTTGAATGCAACATATTTAATCATTCTTGATTCATTACGAGAATCTATTTTTATTCTCAACTTCAACACCCTGTATCTCTAGAACTGAACACTTGAAGACCGTATGTCCCTATCTCAGTAGTTATAAAAACACGAGGGCTCTCACCTGTCAAGCGTTGTTAAATTCCGACACACCCTGTATCTAACAACCAAAATAGAAAAATCGAAGAATTCGTTTGCATTTTTCTGAACAGATACAAAAACATTTCTTCCTCTTCAGTCAATATATAGATAGAACATGGTATTCACTATACTGAAATCTGCATTTGGAAATGGTAAATTCAAGATCTATGAATATTAACATCTTGACACTCACTTGTTTGCATGAAAATATGTCAATGAGGAGTGTCAACACAGAAATTCGAAGACAATTTGCCAAGAAAAATATTTTCTATTTTTATCTTGATAACAGGAACGAACACATTCGTTTCCTGAAACGTCCAAACCTTAGTAAAAACTCTACAGTTTTTCTATATATCTATACTCATATTCCTCTTTCTCAAACCTTTTGAAAAAAAGACGTGTTACTGACTATCGATGTAACTTTTATACTAGGTTTTTGGGTGTATGATAAATTGACATTCATCATACAGGGCGTGGAAAAAAATTCTGAATTGAGACTCTATCACGAATCTGCGATTAGAGGTCTACCCCCTGATTGGGTATGAAAGTGTTGAAAAGGAATATTCTCAGATAAATTATGAACATACAAAAAATGGATATATATATTTATATAGAGCAATACATTGAGAATTCGCATTCTCTATGTGATGAGAATATTTACTCTTTTTCAGTTGATTCAATAGAAAACAACTACTTTCCTGGCTATTTGCCACGTCGAACATTGAATTATATCTGATGAACATTCAAAAGGAGAACATGAAAAATGAAGAATGAAATCCTCCAAAATTGAGAATTGACATTCTCCAAATCGGATGAATAATATGATGAATAGTGATATAGAAATATAACTTACCAATACATTCAGCATTGAAATGAAAATTGGTAAGTTATATTTCTATATCATTATTCATCATATTATTCATCCGATTTGGAGATGAATGTCAATTCTCAATCTTGGAGGATTTCATTCTTTATTTTTCATGTTCTCCTTTTGAATGTTCATCAGATATAATTCAATGTTCGACGTGGCAAATAGCCAGGAAAGTAGTTGTTTTCTGTTGAATATTCAGAATGATATGTGCATCTGCATGTACATATTTTGTCTGAAGGAGAATGCAAATTCTCAATTTTCAACCTCTTATCGTGTGTGTTCAATAGATATAATTCAATGTTCGTCGTGGCATATAGCCAGGAAAGTAGTTGTTTTCTATTGAATCAACTGAAAAAGAGTGAATATTCTCATAACATAGAGAATGCGAATTCTCAATGTATTGCTTTATATAAATATATATATCCATTTTTTGTATGTTCATAATTTATCTGAGAATATTCCTTTTCAATACTTTTATACTAGCCTTTC